TTTGTACCCACACCTAAATCTCGTAATCTACCTCCTACCTGAACAGGCAGCACTGAGCACACCCCAGCCCCTGCCTCCAGCTTCTCTCCTAAAATGGAAGGGGCTTCGTGACCCAGAGTGAGCGTCCGCAGCCACATGCCCGCCTCTGCACGGTGTGTTTGCTTTCTAGGAACGTGTTTCTTGAAGCATCCACTGAAGGGAGAAAAATGAAGAGAGTCTAACATTTGAGGTCCATCTTGATGTTATTTTCTGGAAATCCATATTTAAGTAGCAAAAAGGAAGATAAAATCAAGATGTGAGAAATGGGGGCTCACTTGGGGGACTTTAACAATCTGGGCTGAAGAACTGCTAAAGGCTGCCCGGCTTTCCCAAAATAAAAGCCATAATCTGGGAGGGGCGCACTCAGTGTCAGTTCGCCGGGACTAGGTTAGTCCCACCGCCCCTCTGCACCAGGTCCCACAACTGGGGCACTCCCTTGAGTTAACTGTAGAATATTTACAACAATCCCAGACTCACGCATGTGTACATGGGACATCTACATATGTGGACTCACGCGTGTGTACATACTAGGCACCTGCGTATGCTGACTCGTGTGCGTACACGGGGCAGCTGTGTGTGCTGACTCGTGTGTGTGTGTATATACGGGACACCTGCATGTATACATACGAGGCACGTGTGCATGCTGGCTCATTGGCTCATGTGTGTATACATGGGACACCTGCATGTGCTGACTCATGCATGTGTACATGGGGCACCTGCGTGTGCTGTGACTCGTGTGCACATGCACCAGGCATCCCATGTGTGGCCGACACTGCCATGGCCAGGTGCCCTATAAGCAGTGTGAGCCCAAAAAAGGCTTGTCTACATTTACTGCCGTGCAGACAATCCCCAATCATCAGTTCTGTTAACCAAAAGGGAGAGCATCCCGGGGGGGGCCCAATCCATCAGAGGAAGCCCTGGCAAAGACTCAGCTCTTCCTAGAGTGTTCTGCTGGCTTTGAAGGGTCACTGCCAGGTCAGGAGGGACTCAGAGGGTCCACGGCTGAGACATGGGGATCCTCAAGGAGCTGAGAGATGTCCCACCCAACAGCCAGCAAGAAAACCAGGACCTCAGTCCTGAACCACAGGAGCAGAGCTCCGCCAACAGCCTGGGAGGACCCTGAGCTCACGAGCCAGGTGCCATGCCTGCGCCCTGACCCACAGACACGGGGAGGGACTACGTGGGTGCTGCTTAAAGCCACTGGTTTTTTGGTCATTTGTTGTGCAGAAGGAGAGTACTAACACACTGATGAACGGGTTTGGGGGAATATGCAGCCTCTTTGAAGTTGTGTGTGATGTTTGTGCGTGGTGGGGTGGATGCGTACATCTGCTCCTAATTTTGGAGAAGCCCCAAGGCTTTCATCAGTCTCTGAAGAATGTGTTCCCAAAGGAGACGACAAGCTCCCTCGAGAAAACGCTAGGGCTCAAGCACCTGCTGGACACAGAAGAAAAATCCAGATTCGGCCAAGCGGTGCCAGTGAACTCAGGACAGCTTTTCTCTGAAGACACGGCAGCCTGGGGTCGTGGGGGCGGGAAACACTTGTGTCTCCTCTCAGGCCTCTGGGGTCTCCGACGGCGGGAAGGTGTGCACGGGCTTTTCTCTGAGGCGTCGGTCTGCATCCCAGCACGCTAACAGATGCCCCATTTCCCGAGAGCTTCCTTCCCTGTCGAGACTGGCTCACAGAGCACAGGTCACATGGCCTCTGTGAATATCCTGCATTTTATAAACAATAAATTGACCTAATTATTACCCAACTTCAACCCCGTGGTGGTAAACAGATTACCATTTTTAGGCAGACGGATTAGACAGGATTTATTTGCTTTTGTTCTGTAGAAGAGGGATTTTTTTCTCCTTTGAATAAGAATACAAACTCACCGGCCTGATCACCCCTCCTCCCCGCCCCTCCTCCCAGGCCCTGGGATTACGTCCTGCTCAGGTGTACGTTCGTTTGGGTGTGGCCTGGGAAACAAAGAAGGTAAAACCGGAGCTGGGGAGGGGCGAGGAAGGGAGTGGACAGTAAGAGGAAAGAGACCAAATAAAGGGCCCGTCGGTCTGCCAACTGGAGGTTTTCCTCTCCATCAACCGTGTATTAACTTGCCATGCACAGAAAAAATGTACATGGATCACAATTAAGAGACACAAATTAGAAAGTGAGATTTAACAGGAAAATTAATGAATTTGTCAATATTTTCATATTGGCAGACATGGCTTATTAATTCACAGGCACTGAGGGGAGGTTCACAGCCCAGCACAGTGAAAAGACAGGTTTTCCGAGGTCAGTCAGGGAGACCCTGAAGGCAAGTAACAGCTAACATCCCGCCTGTGGAGTGGTCCCTTGTCCCTGCAGGACAGGGCAGGACTCCTGGGTCTCAGACGTCACCCACATTCTATGCTGACTTACTATTCAGGGAGAGGAAGAGGCAGCGGATGGGTAGGACACTTGTGCAGGTGACATTTCTGCCTGGGCAGAGCGGGGAGGAGCCAGACTTCAGGAAGAGTGACCCGTGATGCTGCCCTCCTCTCTCACCTTAAGATGTGTCTTCCCCAAAATGCCTCCTTTAGGACATGCCCCCACTCTGTCCACAGGCAATCATTTTCTTGGTCATAGCCCTGGGGTGTGTGGGCCTATGCTCGTATCCAGGTCTAGCTAGTGGCTCCACTTACTGACTTTTATGAAGCTCAGGTTGCTTCACAGCACCTAGTTGCAAACTGACGGATCTCCAGAACAGGTAACAAATACTGGCTGTCCCAATCTGTCTCCAGAAGGTTCTAGTTAGTGGAACAGGCATCTCTTAAGGACATGGAGGGGTGATGAGGGAAGAGGATCTCTGGAGAATGGGGCATCCAAATTGGAAGGTAAGAAACAGAAATGATCTTCAGAGCTGATATGATCATGTTATAGAGAAAACTCTAGGGAGTACACACAGACACCACTATTATTCAGTGAAATTGCAGGATACAAAACCAATCTATAAAAATAAGTTGCATTTCTATTCTAGTGATGAACAATCTGAAAAGGCAATTAAGAAAACAATCTCATTTACAACTGCATCAGAGAGAATAAGATACTTAGGACTAAGCTTAATGGTGGACAGAAAGACTAGTATACTGACAACTACAAAACATTGTTAAAGGGAATTTAGAAAGAGACGTAAATACACAGAAAGGCAACCCATGTTCATGGAGTGGAAGACTTAATAATAGTGTTGAGATGATCACATCACCCAAAGTGATCTCCAGGTTCAAGGCAATCCCTACGAAAATACCAAACATATTTTTTCCAGAGATAGAAAACTCTAGCCTAAAATTCACATGGAATCTCAAGGGGCCTCACATAGCCAAAACAAACTGAAAAAGAACAAAGCTAGAGGATTTACACTTCCTGGTCTCATACCTTTCACAAAGCTAGAGTAATGAAAACTGTGGTCCTGGCATAAGGACAGACATACAAACCAATGGAATAGAGCAGAGAGCGCTGAAATAAACCCTCACATACACAGTCAAATGATTTTCAACAAGGGTGCCAAGATCAGGAAAGGCCAGTCTTTTCAACATACAATCCTAGGAAAATTGAATATCCACACACAAAAGAATAAAATTGGATTTTAGCTTATACCATATATAAAAATTAACTCAAACTGGATCAAAGACCTAAATATAAGAGTTATGAAGAACTATGAAACTCTTGGGAGAAACCTTATGATACTGATCTGGCAATTATTTCCTAGATATGAAGCATCATGAAACACAGGAAAGGAAAACATAACTAAGTTGGACTCCACCAAAATGTAAACAATTGGAACAGTAGTAAGAGAGAGAAAAGGCAGGCAGGCCACAGAATGGGAGAAAACACTGTCAGATCATTTCTCTGATAAGGGATTAGTATTCATAATATATAAAGAATTCTTATAATCCAATGACAGAAACCAGATAATCCAGTTCACTAATGGACGATGACTTCAACAGGTGTTTTCCTGAAAAAGAGAATGGCCCACACGCAGGTGAAAAGATGCTGAGAAGCTTCCGCGCCTGGGAGATGCAGACTGCAAGCACAGGAGACATCACTTTGCTGCCTTCAGGATGGCTCCTGCCAAGGAAACAGGAGATAAGAGTGTCAGTGTGGATGTGGGGGCCATGGCACCTCTCTGCAGGGCTGGTGGGATGCAGGATGGTGTGGCCACTGTGGACAGCGGACCAGCATTTCCTCGAGAAGTCGCATGCAGAGTTACCATCAGACCCAGCAACCCTACCCCTTGAGAGGTGGGAACACACGTGTCCACACAGCATTCTGTGCACGGTGTCCACTAATCACAACAGCCAGATGTCCGGCAAACAAAATGTGGCATACACATATCACGGAATGTTGTTTAGCCTGAACACGATACTGCGGATTACTCGTGGACACTGAGTTGTACACTGATGAGTTTCATGTTATGCATATTTTACCACAATGAACAAATACATTTTCATGGACAAAGCTAATGACTTCCTAAACTGTGCGTCAGCTGACAGGTGTTTCTAGAACCCAGTAATCCCACATACAGGTGACTATCACCAAGACAAAAGGAAAGGTCAGACTGGGAAAATGATGTTCTTGATGTTCTCAAAGCAGAGAAGAGGCAACAAGGAAGAAAATAATAAATTCGACCAGAATCATATGACTTAAACCACATTTAATGTCCATAAAGTGTTCTTAAAACACAGAGTTTCAAATACAAGTTTATATGACTCTATAAAAATAAATAACTTCAAACTATATAGTCTATTACATTTAACAGAACATCCATTTTCAAATTTTACAAGAATCAAAGAAACAGGATCACTGTGTAGTAATCTAAGTCACAGCAATTTCCGGTAATTGAGAAAGGTCCATTTTATCCCAGTTTCTCGAAGTCTCGGATTGCGTGTTGCTCATTGTGTACAACACACAAACAAACAATGCGCCGGGATGTTTTTAGTTCCCCGGATCCGGGTTACAACAGAAGCGGAGGGGATTCTGTCTTCTTTGTAGGAATGTCTCTGCTGGCCTCATGTTTGCCTTTGATATTTTCTTGCTAAATGTTCGCTCTTCCAGATGCACTGATTTATTCCCGGTGTTTCTCGGGAAGGATGTGTGTGATCCAGTAATTAAAGAAAGCCGAGAGCACTCTGGCCTGGTCTGGGAAACAAGCACACAACGTAAAACAGAAAATAAAGTGGCACAGGAAAACCCCAGACAAAGACGGCCCGTGTCAGTCTTACAGAAACTAGCTGTTGGCTCCGAGCAGAGCCTGCAGAAACCCCAATAAAGCTCGGCTCCGGTGCCGAAGTGATACCGGCCGCGGCACGCGAGCCCTCGGCACACGGAGAAATCATGGGGGTCGGTGTTTCCGTCCGGTAAGAGCCGGCCGTCTTCAGGCTGTGTTGGACCTTCAGAAAACCCACCACAGAACAGCGCTGCCACCGGCGCTCAGGGGAAGCCACAGGCACACGGAGACCCAGTGGAGGCGGCGGTGTGCACGCAGGGGAGTGGAGCGCTCAAGGGTCGGAGGCGGACCCCCCAAGCGGGGCGCGGGAACCCCTGGCACAGGCGTGTGCGCAGGGGAGCAGAGCACTCAGGGGTTGGAGATGGAGCCCCTAGAGGCGTGGACATGCAGGACCAGCGCAATCGCCCCGCTGTGCCCTGCAGCCAGCCTCTGGCTCAACCCGCCCCTCTCCCGCCTCAGGGGCCTGCCCAGCTTTGGGAGCAGGTTCTCTGGCTCAGGTGCCAGGCGTCCTAACCACTCGACACTCCTCACAGGCTGCCACCGACACACAGCGGCCTCCCAGCCCCTACCGAGCATGGATTGCCCTCAGGAGCCACCTGCGGCCAGCACCCCTGCAGCCTGGTCCCTGTAGGCAACTGCGCAGGGAGCTCCGCCCCCGCCCGCTGGGAACAGAGGCGCAGGGCAGAGGCCGTTCCAAATGTGCCTGCTGCCCCTGCCAGCAGCCTGGCCCCTGACCTCTCGCTCCCTCACCAGGTGTTGAGGAGGGTCACAGGACAACATGCAGTAGAGGCCCAGGCTCCTGGTGGCCCCGTGGCACCTGTATGCTGGAACCATAAGGGGTCAAGGAGGCAGCCCCCTTTCCTAGGCACCAGCTTTGCCCCAGCTGGCAAACACAGGCAGGACTGTGTGAGGAGACTGACTGGGGTGCAGCCAGGAACCCCCCAGCGTCAGGAAGGGTAACGGCTGAGCGGTGGGGAGGCACCTGTGCCGCGCCCAAATGCTGCTGTTCCCAGGCCGCCGGCTGCCCACGCAGGCCACGACATGCCCACGTCAGACACGCTGGCCTCCCAAGACGGGCCTCACCGCTCGTAACACACTCCGTCTACAAAGTAGCTTTGGGCAGAAAAGCTCAGAACGCATCTCCTACGCGCACTAACGGGGACTCTGTTTCTAAGAAAAGTGCTTCAACGGCTTGTAAGTTAAGTTCCACCGAGTGGGGAAAGGGAGCGTGCTTGTTGATGAAACTTGTCCCGTGACGTGGATATAAGAAGCTGAGAGCAACATCCCTGCTAAATCCCCACGTGGGGCCGAAACTCTGCCGGCACACGACAGAGAAGCGCAGAAGAAAGGCCTCCATGGGAGGAACACAGCACCAATTCTGAGAATTTAAAATCATTTATTTTTATCTCATAAATACTTTATATTTGTTTAACTTAATAAAACTGGCTTTCCGCACTTTGAGCTGAAACCTGATGGAAACTCAAGTCTGCTCCACGCAGGAGAACCAGCACTGAGTGCGGACTCTGGCTAAGCCTCTCAGGAAGCTCCGGCCGCCCAACCGCACCAGGCTGTGGCCCCTCAACAGAAGGGCTCCAGGAGTATCAGCCTCCCCTCCGCGGTGCTCACCGCACACTCCCTTCCAGGCTCCCCACGCCTCCTCCTGCAGGGGTCCCCAGACAGCTCTCCGCTCTCCTCCACCTTCTCTGCTCTGTGAAGGTGGCCCCTGGCAACCTTCCCCATTCTCAGTCCCACACCGGGTGTCCAGCCAGCATCCTGCCTGGCCCCATGTGACCCTGGCTCCCGAGGATCCCTCTCCCGGGACTGCCCAATGCAGCATCACAGCTCAGAGCCCACCGCTGGGCTCTTCCAGGGGCTCAGGCCCCACGCCTGTCCACATGGCCACGCTGCGGCTCTCACCTGCACAGCCTCCCTGAACCTCCACACCTCCAGATGGCTTCTCTCACTGTAAGCTAGGTCCCCGGCCTCCTGCTCCTGACCCTTCACCCTTGTCTGAACTCGAGAGCCGGGGGTCTTGCTTGTATCTGGGAGCAGAAGCCCGTAGCCATGGCACGGGCCATGCTGCACTCGGGCCGACACCACCACCACATTACCCTCCATCCCGTCTGTCCGTGCCCACCACCCGCTCCCACGTGACCTCCACCACACTCCATTCCAGTGCTCTTGTCCCTAACTGCAAGAATATCTCCTCCTGCAGGATTTCCTTCTCTGCAGACTCTCATCTCACATCTACATGGCCGGTGTCTGCTCCCAACTTCGTCTCCTGTCTCCCCCCGGGGACACGAGCCTCCTGTCTAGTGCGCACACAGCTGGCGTCAGCTCCCGATCTCGTCCCCCATCTCCCGTCTCCCTACCGGGACACGAGCCTCCCATCTAGCAGGCACATGGCTGGCGTCTCCTCCCAACCTCGTCTCCTGTCTCCTCACCAGGACACTAGCATCCCATTTAGCGTGCACACGGCCAGTGTCTGCTCCTGATCTTGTCTCCCATCTCCCCACCGGGACACGAGCCTCCTGTCTAGAGCACATACAACTGGTGTCTGCTCCCGACCTTGTCTCCCGTCTCCCCGCCAGGACACAAGCGCCCAAGGGCAGGGCTTTGTTTGCCCCTTTCTCCAAGAATCCAGCAGCTGAGAACAGAACACGAAACAGGAAGACGTTGATGAAGTTCAACAAACACGCTAATGCAGGACATTGGGGGGCAGCTTCTCCAGGACCCCTGCTCGGTGAGCGGCAACCCCCGCTGGAGAATGAAATGTTGACAGTCCCTGTCACTCCCCTGCTTGTCATCCCTGCGCCACACTGGGATGGCCTTACTGTCCTCTCACCTGATCTGACACTATGTTAATCTTGACCTTCCAGCTGCACCATGAGGTTTCTGGGTAGAAATGGTTAGTGTGGCCGCTCTGACATTCTTGGAGAGGTCGGCAGAACAGCTCCGTTCAGTCACGTGCCTGGTGTGGGTCAGGTGTGGGGCTCTGCATGGCGGTCCTCCAAAGCCCTGGCTTGCTGATCCTGGCTGTCTGCACACTCCTGTGGCCTCATATCCCCCCACCACCCATTTCACGCTACTGACATGAAGTCAGCCCCATGGCATTGGGAGGACTTGCGCACGGCTGGCCCAGCACCTGGAGGTTTGTGTGGAATGCGTACCCTATAAAGGCCGACACACAAGGGAGAAGTCATCTTGTAATTCATCTGTCTCCAAGGTATTCAGCAGCAGAACAAGTTAACCTCTTAGCAGTACAGCCGAGAAGAAGGGAAGGGGGAACATTTAAACGGGTGACGTCTGGCCCTAATGGTTCACAGCTCGCCGTCTGGAAGATCAGACGGCACAGGTCCCTCTGCGCCCGTCCCATGAGTCATGCTTACGGCACGCACATTCCCGTGTCCCGACAAGCTGCGCGCACGCCCCGCTGCTCCACCCCAGGCTGCTCTGCTGCCAAGCGGGGTCTTGGAGGCAAACCCTAGGGGCCAGTACGTACCGGGTGGCATGGTGCAATGCGCCGGGAACCTCTCCAGGGCGCGCTGCAGGCTCGTGGTGTCTCGCAAGAGTACCAGTGTTTTCATGTGATCCACCAGGAGCACGTCGGAGGGGGACACGCTGTGGTCCTCGAGACGCTGGAGCAGCTGCTGACAAGCCTCCAGGGACACGGCTGAGTCCCCATCCTTGCAGGCACCTGAGCAAAGCCAGGGTCACAGAAACGCATGTTCACGTTTACTCTCGTCGGGAGAACGTAAGCCGCCAACCAGACACGTCCGCTCAGAACAAGCTGTTTGCCCCGAAGCCGCCAGGAGAGACCACCCGAGCAGAACGCGAACGGTGAGCAGCGAACGGGCGCTGCCGAAGCCGGAGGCCCGCCTGTCGGCGCCTCCCCGTCCCGCAACACCTTTCAGACATGCTGCTGGGAGTCCGGGCGGCAACAGGGCCCGGACGTGGCCCAGCTCTGCGGACTGGCTCGGGCGCCCCTGTCCCCACTCCCGCTGCACGGCAAGTGCTCCGGGTATGTTTTCTGCATTAATCCCACTGGAGTTCCGACGGCATTCTGAGTCTATGACCTGATGGCCCTTCCCAACTTGGGAGAACTCCAGCTATCTCTGCACTTGCCCCCAGCGCCCCGTCCTGCACTCCCACGCACACGTGTCAGACCTGTTCCCGACCCCCGCGGCGCCTGGGAGCCCCAGTCTGCCTGTTTCCCGGCCACTGATCTCTCTCGTGCTGCGCCGAGCTCCGGCTCACCCTCAGCATGGAGATCTTAGTCTCAGTGACCATACTTCTCAGAATTTCCATTTGACTGTCTTAATAGATTGAGGCTATCTGGTGAAATTCTCCAATGTTTTCACCTTTTCTATTTTTCTTTTATTAATCACAGCTCTTTCAACGCCTGTCTGATAACATCAACGTCTCCACTGCATGTTCTTCTCGTGGTTTCTCCTGCTAATTTAAGTGTGTGGGGATGGAGTCTGACGGTGGTCTGGCCAAACCCGCCCCTGCAGGGACTGAGCGGACACCCCCACCCACCCCTGCTCCAAGTGTGTGGCCCTCTGGGGTGCTCGAGGGGTCAACCCTTGTCAGACCCGTCAGTACCCCGAAACTGCCGAGGTCCACCGTGTCATCAAAGCTCCTGGCATCTCCCTACCTTCTGCCCCACGGTGCAGCATCTGGCAAAGGTTCTGAGGGACCCGCTGAGCGTCTGCTTCCCTGGCTCTCCTTCCACACCACACATGGCAGCCACTGGGCCTCCCCTCCCCCTCGAGGTCTGCCTGTGGCTGAAGCTGTGCTGGTGGGTGAGCTTCCCAGGGCTCAGCCGGTCCCCCTGCACCCTGATCCTGTGCCCACATGCATGGCCAGCAGACGCCCCCAGGGGAAGGAGGCTGTGGAGCGCCGCTCGGCCTTCACATGGTGTCACCTACTCTGGGGTCTACCCTCTCGGGTGTTTTTCTGCAGAACCTCCCAGATTCACAGGCAACGGGTCCCATACTTAGGTTTTTCTGAGGCTCCTGTGCCTATTAGCACCGTGTTCCCACTACCCTCGTCTGGGTCTGTTAAGTCCATTTTCACTCTGTCAAGACACAGCGCTGACAGGCGTGCTAAAGACAAAAGGGTAAAACTGATCTATTAATAAGGGCATTTTTACACCCTTGTGTAAATCAGTTCCTTATCCCCCAAATTATCCCAGAGCCAGTATTTCTCAGTCTGGTTCATAAGGTCAAGTTCCTGTTCACATCAGGATTCACCAAACCCACCCCAGCCCCTGAACCCACTGGAGCATCGTCAAAGCAGGCGACGTCCATCCCGAGCGCCTCTGTCCTTGGGGTGAACACGGCGGATCGGCAGCCCCTCCTGCTTCCTCATCCTGAGGTCGGCGTCAGTCAGTGGACACCAGTGCAAGGAGTTACCACCCATGAGAATGCATCTGCTCCCCTTTTCCACGTCCTGCAGCAACACATTGAGCTGCTCAAAGACGGTCCCCGAAAACCTGAAATCTGCGAGTCCGTGCAGGGAGTGAAACACAGCGTGCCCGTGCTCACACCACGGCCCGAGCAGCTCCCTGAGGCGAGCATGAGGCTGTCGGCCCCGCCGAACGCACTTACCTTTCCCGACAGCACCACACCCCCGACATGGGGCTGAAAGCGGTGGGGATGTGGACACCAGCCCCGTGAGGGGCCACGGCTCCGCGTGGGGGCCACGCCGCTCTCTGGTACGCCTCCGGCCGTACTGGAGAGAGTTTAAAGATTCTGATCCTGGCCTCAAAACTAATGACTTACTCTGACTGCTGAATGTTTTAATGTTCCATATTTTAAGCATTTAAACATTTTACTGTATTTATTTTTTCCACATACATGGATACCATTATTCACAAGAACGGTAAAAAACCTACCATCATAAAAATAAATTTCTTGTGTCGACTTCAGAAAGTTTAGGATCCCATCTGCCTTCTCATCGGTACTTTTAACGTCTTCCTCGTTGGCATCTGTCCTGTCCTGGTGCTCCCCGCAGGCGTCTGCCCGGTCCTCCTCATCGTCCCCCTCATCGTCCCCGCCGCTGTCTGCCGGGGCTCCTTGCTCGCTGTCGCCCTCCTCGGGCTGGTACATGAAGTTGCGGCCAGAGGCTGCTGTGAGTAAACCCGCAGCTTTCTTCCTCTTCATCTGCTGCTTTTTCTTCAGTTTCCTCTTCTTATTTCTACTGATCGTGGGGCCATCTGTGGGCTGTGGCTGCGACTTTTCTTGTAAAAGACTCTGCTGTTTCTCTAATTCTGCTGGTTCCGTGTGATCACTATTGGGATTTTTAAAACTCTTTCTGGATTTATGCTTTCTCGCCCTTCTTCTCTTCGGTGGATCGGGAAGCTCCTCCTCTACAAAAACAAATTCAAACACAACGGCATTCCGTACAATGGAACCACAACAAACACAGCAGGCTACGTTTTCCGTTAGAATCTGGCAGATTCAGTAGAAAAGGAATTTAAAATAGTCACCTGAGTGCTTCTCAGCTTTATCTCAAGTGACCACCTGACCGCAGAACCCGGGACTTCCCGGAACTAAACGTGCAGCAGGCACGTTCCTCCGGAGAGGCCCGCGTGAGGACAGACTGTGCACGCCCACTGTTGCTGCGGTCGTGCAAACGTGAGGTTTCGGGGATGCAAGAGCTGTTGCGGTTTTACTGGGAGTGAAATTTCAGGCCTGTGGCTGTGGAGAAAATACGTTAATTCCTGTTTCTTGAGATTTTACTTTGGTGCCTTCTAAGAGTTACTCGGATGTGAGCACGAGTCACAACGAGCAGGTCCTGTGCAGGAACCGGCACGAGGTCGCAGCCAGAAAGGAAGGAGGAGCCCAGGCTCACAGTCAGCAGCACCGGGTCAGCCGTGCACCCGCCCCCAGGCCTCAGACGAGAGCGCGGCATCGGGCAGGGCTCGCAGACGACGGTGGTTGGGCGGGTCACAGAGCTGACACAGCCGCCATGGGAGTCCTGCACCTGGGGGCTGCGAGTGTCCCCCCCGCCCCATGGAGGTGGCACAGACGGGGTCCACGCCAGCCAACGACTCTGCAGGCCCAGCCGAGTGGCCCCAGGAGCACGACCCTCACCAATAAGTCTCATGTTTGGGCAGTTCTCGTTCCCTAGTGGCACCCCCGTGGGATTACTGTGGGGAGTCAGAGAGTGTGTGACATCTGTGGGCCACGGCGCAAGCACGGTTACTGTGCTGAGTAAAACTCTCCCTCCCCGTATGCTCTACTGCAGGCTGTAATTCCGCCTCTGGCTTTGCTCGCAGATGCACACACAAACGGTTGTGCCCACATGCACATCTCTCGCGTGGCCTCTCTCCTCACCCACCTCTCCAGGTGACAGAGACGAGAACCGGCCGGTGCTGGCGCTCTGGACACATCACCGCCCCCCCGCCCTGCGCTCCGGACACCAGGCCACGGCACAGCCCATCCCCGCTTCTCCGGCTGAGCGGCCGACCGCGGGCCTGAGCCCCCATCCTGCCGGCTCTGTGCCGTTGCCAAAGTAGACGTGCATGCACACAGAGAAAGTGTCCCTGCTACTTTTTGAGTGAGTTCTCCTGGCTCTCCTGACAACATGACGGCTACACCTGTGAACCCCGGCACAATCGTGACCTGAGTGCGGAGCTGAGGCCACTCCTTGTGAAACGGTGACACCAGACAGCCCTCAGGTCCCCCTGTCGGTGTGTCGAAGGCCCCTCCTCGGTCATACAGGATTAACTGAGCATGGTATTGTGCTATTTCGTCCGAAGCACGTTGACCGTGGGGCCCGCCAAGTGCAGCCCACAGACCGAGGCTGAGTCACAGGTCTGTGAGCAGGTGTCTCAGGAAATACAAACGCTCAAAAGTCAGCTCCTCATGGAACTACGTGTTTTTTTTTTTAACTTCCCAGGTCCGGTTAGAAAAAGAAATACATGAATTTCCCTCATCGTTCGTATGTGCCTGCCTTCCTTCACGTGGAGAAAAGGAATCATCGGCTGTCCCACCATCTCACACCTCAGAGCAGAGCCACCTGGGGAGCGACGGCAGGTGTGCTGCGCCCACAGCTTCTCACGCTGAATCCTCCGGGGTCCTCGTGAGCAGCACCCTCCTTCAAGCTCCCCCAGCCTCACCACCTGCTGCTCTCAGCCTCGGAGGCTTATCTCCAGCGCTGGGTGCTGAGCGTGAGCGCACCGCCCATCTGCTGTTTGAGAGGGGGCCGCAGAGACGCCATGAAACCATCAGTGCCACACAGCATTCTACGTGGGCAGACGTGGTGTGTGCACTCTGTGCAAGGAAAACGACGCAC